CCCTTAATAATCTCGTTAAAGAAATTGTCGAGGAGCAAAATGAAGCTATCATTCGAAAGATTGTTGAGGAAAAAATTAACCAAATTGTAAAGGAAGAATCATCCAAGACCTATGATGATCATGTGAGAAGAATTATCAAGGAAGAATTAGAACTCGGTGAAAGAAGAGAAGAAAGGGAATTCGAACCGGATGAAGAAAGAAGCGCGCACATTGTGATTCATGCACCTCATCATCATTATTCTGAACATCGTCGCGAGCATGAGTTTAGGGAGGGTGAGCGAAGATTGCATAATATGTTGAGACGTTTTAGGATTGATTTTCGTCCGGAGGACGAATTTATTAAGAAATTAGAAAGGTTGGAGGATCATTTTGTTAGGAAGGAGGAGTGTGAAAAATACACATACGATTAGTCTTTTTTAAAAAATTTTTTATTTATAAAAATTTATTATATTTTATAAATTTATTATATAAATTTTAAATAAATAATTATTTGATTAAATTATAAATCTTTTCTAATAAAACGTGGTTTTTCTTCTGAGTCAATTAGCATATTTTGATATGCTTCTTCTTGTTTTCTTCTTTCTCTTTCTGCTTCTATTCTTTCTTCCCAGTCGTCATCATCATCTTGTTTCCTTAATTCTTCTTCTTTCGGTTCTTCTTTTCTTAATTCTTCCTCTTTTTCCTCTTCTTTCGCTTCTTTTTTTCTCAATTCTTCCTCTTTTTTTCTTAATTCTTCCTCTTTTTTTCTCAATTCTTCTTCTTTTTTTCTTAATTCTTCTTTTTTCTTTTGTCTTTCCTCTTCTCTTTCTTGTAAGATTTGAAAACCTTGATAAAAGGTATTTTCACTTTCTTTTATTTTTTTATTTTCATCTATTAAATTTTGGTACGTATCTTTAATTTTTTCAGTTTTGTTTTTTACATTATCCTCAAAATTATTAGAAGTTGGAGGTATTGGAATTTCGAGATAATTTAAAAAATTGTCTAGATATTTTTCAAAGCTTGTTTCAGCGGTATCGTTAAATTCTTCTTTTTCTTTCTTTAATGCTTCATATTTTGGTACTAACTCTTCATATTTTTTTTTAATTTCAAGTAACATGTCAACTTTTTCCAAGGTCATTTTAATTAACGAATAAAATTTAAGAATATATTTTATTTATATTTGAAAGATCATTACATGCTTTAATAATTAGATACATTTTTTCATTTATGTTAATGATTTTATCATGTTTGATTTCTAATAAATCTATAGAACAATCAATATCTTGTTCAAGTTTCACAATATCCATTTCTTTGTTTAAGTATATGATAACGTAGAGATTCATGTATAAAGTATAAAGATTACATATATTGTTTCAGTTAAATGTAGGTGAAGCTTGAAGATTTTCAGATGTATTTCTAAAAAAAAAGTAATTATTTTTTGTTAAATGAGAAAAAAAAAAAAAGAAAAAAAAAAATACAAACCAATTAAAAAGTTAAACATCTTTTTTTTTTTAAAAAAAAAAAAAATAAAAATATTTATTTTTTTTGTGGTCTGCCTCTTTTTTTTGGTGATGTGGCTCTTCTTTTTTTTGTTTTTTTTATGTGTCTTGGGCATTTTATTGTTGCTGGTGCGGGTCCTTTTGGCTTATACACGTTTTCGTAATATGCTCTACCTCCTTTGCCAAATTTTTGCACAAAGATGCCGCCATCATACTGTTTTGTGATCTTTCCATTTTTATTTAGTATAGGAACGTAACGTTTTTTATGAAAATCCCATGTATGGAGGATCAGCAGTTTGTGGTGTAATCTATGTGGTTCCACTTCGATGATGATTTCGGCTGCATGTTGCATGTCAAACATGAACACAAGTACAATCAGAAACCACAGAATGAATCTCATTTTGTTTAATTTTCCGGAGAACCAATTATTTAAATAGATCTGGTTCAGTAAAGGTTGGGTTTATATAAGCAATTACCGATAGTTTGATTACATGTGAGTTTATCATTATTATGTAATATTTTTTTTTAAAAAAACTAATAAGTAAATAAAATAAAGTACAAAAAAAAAACTCTTTCCGGATTACACCCGGAATTTATTAAAAAAAAAAAAACAAAATTTTAACAAAAAACAACCAGGCTCTTTACAAAAACTCCAAAGTCGATAGGGCCAAAGCC